GCCATAATCTAATAAATCACCATAATTAACTTATGCAACTGCCAACAAAAGATCAAAATCCAAATTATATCGGTACAAGTATCACTATTTTTTTCAAGTTTATACTTTACCTTTGATGAGGCTTGAACTCTTGAGTTGTAAAAATGTTACCAATGCATTTGCCAACAAAAAATCAAAATCAAAATTAGTTCAAGAATAAAGATGGGAAAATACGGTCCAAAAATCTAGGGTTTTGAAGAATTCAGCACAGATAAAGAAGTCAAAGTCATCTAATTTTGTAGAGATATAAATAAACAAATACTAACAAAGAAATAAAGAATTAAGATAAACATTGATCAGAATTGATCATTGTCGATATTAATTAGTTAGACATATATATAAGGGAAATGGATATGGATGAACATTGTGGGTGGGTTTAGGGATGATAACAAAAAGTTAGAAGTATTAATAACTTGTATTAATACATTATTAATTTGTACTCTTAAATTTTAAGTAATATGCATTAAAAATTAATACATGATATATTATAATTTGTACTTAAGAGTTATATATAAATGTTTTATAATATGGAATAGATTCATGGCAAATTGTTAATTAGATTGCTTCTTATTAAATTTAAAATAGGATAAAATTAGTGATTCCAGGCTGTAGCACATTTACCTGGAGTCATGGTGCAACCTTGTGCGATCACCGCAGTTTTTGACTTTGAGTATGATCCAACGGCTGGAGTGAAAAGAAGCATGATATCAATTAATGCGAATGATTGTTAGCTGTCACTTTTACAGATTATCATGAACCTAACCACTTCTGTTCAATGCTCCATTTATAACTATTTCCAAATTCGGCCCTACAAATTGAAGGAATCACACTTTTTTTAGTTTATCTTTTGCATGCAAGTCTTAAACTTTATATTCAAATTAATATATATATATATATATATATATATATATATATTAGTTGTATGTCCGTGTAATGTGACGGGAGTCATGAATTTTAACGATTTTGAAGTTACACTGATTTTATAAGATAAGATTTAACGATGATATATGTTACACTTGGTCTTTACATATTAATACAATTTGAATAAATAAGAATTATGGTTCCAATTACATACTATCGATAAAAAAAAATTGTATGATAGTTTAAAATCCAATATATTTAAAATCCAACATATTAAAATGACTCGACAAATGTGTTCGATTTACACCAAGAGCAAGAAAACCAAGAAACTTGAGTTTTAAGATAAACACTCAAAACCAATAAAGAAAACTACAAATTTGACAGATCATAAGCCATGAAAAGACCAAAAAGATGAGTCTTAAAATGAAATTTCAACTGCTTACCATTTTTCTTGTCTAAAACTCATATTAAGGTTGAATTAATATATGTATGTATATATATATATATATTAAAAAAACCCATAAACATATTATACAGTGCAATTTGGACAGTCTAACCCCAAAATATATAAATAAATAACTATTAAAAGTATAAATCGTAAATATTAAAAATATTTTTTTTACAGTATATATAATATATAATAAAATAATTAAGTCAAAAACTATTCAATATTGGACTCATTTCTAAGTTATTAACGAGACGATTATAATAGTGTAACTTATTAAAATAAAAATGTATTTTTTAAACATGTTTTAATTGATATACAATTATGTATATTAATTTGATAAAGGTTTAAAATGAAATATTTAAAAATAAAGGACGTAAAGTAAATTAATTAATTATAGGGATATAAAATGTAAATTTAAAATTATAATTTAAAAAATATCGGGTTGTTGAGAGGGTGAGTGTATGTGAGGGGGTGAGTGTATGTTAAGAGAGGAGGGGGTGAAAAAGTGAAAAAATCATATAAAGGGTATCTTGGTCATTTAGTATTTTAAGACTTTAAGACTTTTGTTAAATTTGTTTTATAAGATAGTATATATATATATATATA